GGAGCAAATGTCTATAGCGCGTGTTAAAAGAATGGAAATCACGCGAGTGGCTAAATTCATTAAGTAAATATGCTGGAGCCAGGCCATGAAGGCACTTAAACACTTAGATGCACTTAAGATAGTCTCGGCGAGACTGGAGCGTAGGCCAACCGAAAGTGTGAGATATCTGCGGTTGTGAAACTGTGTAGCCTTCGATAATAATGGCGTCACGCCTATGTGGCTTATCCAAGTACTCTCGGTCAGCCTTACTGCAGGAGTACCATACAACAGCGCAATAGTCGAATACTGGAAGTTTCGTGGCGTTATTAAGTGTTAAACACGACCCACGCGGAATGACCTTGCGCACTTTACGAGGCATGCCGAGCTTTGCCGATATTTTGCGCCCGATGTAGTCTGTGTGGTCATTCCACGAGAGGTATGGATCAAGCAGAACGCCGAGATACTTAAGATAGACTCGTTACGGGACAGTGTCCTCTGCTCTGACTGTGAAACTATCAACTAAGGCAAGCCTCTGATGTGTACCAGTCAACATTACCCTAGTTTTGCCATAGCTAAAGGTAGAGGAAGTTATTATTAAGCCACTCTATTATATGCTTAAGATCTTTGGATAGCATAGATTCTATGTCGGTGATGGAACTACTGCTAACGCCAGTAGGAGGGTATCATCCGCATACAATTGGATTTTACAATCCTTTACCACCGAGGGTACATCGTTGATGTAGATTATAAATAACAAGGGACCGAGTAGGGACCCTTGCGGGACTCCAAATGAAAAAGATTGGGGATTAGATGTTGATCCATTCACTACAACGCTTTGTGTCCTATCTGACAAGTCAAGTGATGGTTGGGGTAGCGAAAAACCAAAAACAAAAATTCGAGCAAGAGAAAATGTCCCCCAAAAAATTTATGCAAAGTGAAACCCAAAGGAAAAAAATTCATACACGACAAAGTGCTCAACCTCTGTGCACCTCGATTAAAAAGTGGAGCAAAAGAAGCAAGGCTGATTATAACCTGAGATCAGGCCCAATTTTAGCAGTTCTCAGCATTTTCTCTTACGAAGTCTCTTTTCGTTTCGCCTTGCCCGCCGGATAGGACTGATATTACCAAGGACTCACAAAGGATAGAGAAAATTTCTCTGTTCTTGCTACCAACTGTTCGCTTTGGTAAGCCCACCCGGTTTTGCTTTATTTACTATTATATCCACGTGATTCGACACTTACTTACTTACTCACTTACTTACCGATACTTACTTTCTTGTGCTATAGCAGCTATAGTTTGTGTCCTAGTGTGTTTGTTTGTTTGTTTGTCTTTTTTTTGTTTTTGAAGCGATCTGGGCTGGTTTTGCGATCCTGTCCTGTGTCACTAAGTCCGTTTGACTTTCATATAGAGAGCTCGAAATGCTGTGATAAGTGAATTTCCGGTCTAGCATAAGGCACGATCACCTAATTTTGAGGCCCCTGATTCGTGTTTTTTTCGGAAAGTATTCGTGAAAAAACCGAATCGAATTTAGCTGCTAATATATCTATTCATATAGTGATCCACATTGTAACATGCCAAACAATGATCTTGAGTGGAGAACGCATTTTCTCAGGCTGGGCTGATATGTTTCTAAGACCGTGTTTACATGGAGTGGGGGACCCCGGTCTAGTGGGGTAAGTTTCTTTTGTTTTGTGCCCCTCAGAGCGTGAAAACAAAAGAAACCAACCCCACTAGACCGGGGTCCCCCACTCCATGTAAACAGGGTCTAAGATTGTTCTAAAGCTTTACCCGCAATCTTGTCAACGCTCAGAAAAAAAAAAAAACATGAACTGAAACCGCACAAGACCTAACACTCACTGACTGAATTCCTGGAGATAATTTTCTGCAATAATGGATGTTAGATAAATGATTCGTGATATGTAGGAAAGCAGGGTCCTTATTCGTGACTGGGACCTCCATTCAATGGCTAATTGAGGGATTAACTAGACTTGTTTTAACACTTATTTAATGTATAAATTAAATTGAAAGGGAGATCTGTATTTACAAAAAAGTCAAATTAGTATATTTACAGTGGTCAATCTCTTCACGGTATAAAAACCGTGTACGAACAATCTTGCTCAACGTCGGATCCAAAAAGATCTTGATCACTCAAAATAGATAAAATTGAAGAAGACTTTTGCAGGGACTGATCAAACAAGGTGAAATAGAGTTCAGTTGCGATTTTTCGACTGGCCAATACCAGTCTTCATCAGGTTTATTGAGATATCACGAATTTACAGAAACATATATGAAGTAAAATAATGACCGGAAATTACATAATATGACATGGTATGGTGTGGCTACTTAAAAAGACAAGATAACAAAAAAATAAAAGATATACTATATATAGTTACAGTGTATCACGTTTATTGATGCCCAGAGGCTCAATTGTCTTAGCTTTATGGATAAGGTGGGCTTCACGTGCTTTCCTGAAGGAATCACGCCCATTTTTAAGTTTTTCAATGGGAATCAAAAGCATATCAGTCGGAATGCGTATGATTACTGGTAAGAAAGTGTTCTGAAACTGCAGTATGGATGTAATTACCAGTAGGGTTGAGTATAGGTCGTCTGTGTTCATTAAAACTGTCTTTGAGGCGACGTTTAGTTTCTCCAATATATTGTAGATTACACAGGCGACATTGAATCAAATAGATAACATTAAAAGTGTGACAAGTGATATGAGATTTACTTTATACCACTTTATTTTCAAAAACGAAAAAACTTAATTTACAAAAACAAAAACCACTTACTTAACTTTTAGCAAAAATCCCTAGGAAAAAACGAATTCGCCAAATCCGGTACAAGCTGATAGCATGCATGAGATCAAGATGTCTGTAGCACAAAGTATAATTTGTAGTGTTTTAAACTAAGGGAAAAAGGGCATTGTTCATTTGTCAGAATTGACCGGCAGCCAGACCGTTCCCATGGTAACAAGAAAAAAGGTAAGGTAAAGGTGCACACGAGCCCCAGGCCCACACGGCCGGAGCTTATACCGGTTTGCTTAGCATGAAGCAAGCCTAGAGGTATTGCTACTCCCCCCTGGACGGGATCCTAGTCCATCGCAGGGTTATAAATATCATGGTGTTGAAATAGATCAATCATTAACTTGGAGAGATCATGTAGACAAAATTGCTAAGAAAGCTTCTGGAGGGATTAGAGTTCTGAGGAATTAGAGTTGTGAGGCATCTCATACCTTATCATACATTAATTACGATGTTTAAATCCATTGTACTATCGTATTTCGATTATTATAGTGTGGGGAAGTTGTGGGGAAGGGATGCGTAACAGACTCCAGACCCTCCAAAATAGAGCTGCCAGGGTGGTAACGTCCTCTACTTACCACAGGCGATCAGTTGAGATACTGGATGAACTTGGGTGGGATAATCTTGAGACACGAAGGACAAGGCAATTAGCCACAATAATGTATAAATTGAAAAATCACATTGCAACAGATCATTTGGCTCAAATTTTTAATGGTACAAACTCTATGTACTCCTATAATCTAAGGAACTCAAAACATAATTTGTTTCTACCAAGACTGTATACTGAGGCTGAAAAAAAAACAGCTTCCACTATAGAAGGGCGGGTCTCTGGAATAGTCTATCAAACGTCGTAAAAGGACACACAAGCTTGAAATTATTTCTCTCGCATTTGTAATTTTAGAACCATTTTAGTAACTATACTTATCTAATGTTATGTTATTGCATGGTTTTTGCACGGCTCTCTGGAAGAGCATTTTTATGAATGAGATTCCGTGATTAAATAAAGATGATGATGATGATGATGACACCCCAGCAGTATGTCGCCGGTACCCATTATACATCTGGGCGAAGAGAGACAAAGTGGAGTAAAATTCCTTGTCGAAGGGAACAACGCGACGAGCGAGGCGTAAACCCCGAACCTCCAGATCCAGAGTTCGAGATGTTAACCTCTCAGCCGAGTGAACTAATGAGAACTACACTTGTAACTGAAAATGTCCAGCCTGAGATGAGTCAATTTGTGAATAATATGCATCGGTTGATATGTATTAATTTTAGCCAAAACTCCTTTAAAAAGCCTGTTTCAATTACGAAATAACCGGTCCGGCGCCCTAACACTAGTAAGTTTTAATTTATAATTCAATACACTATAGCAAATTATAAAAAGACTCTCACTAAGTAGGTACGTAGAATGACACTTTTTTTTTTTAAACTTAACTAATTTCACTATAACCTGAAGATATATATTACTTGATGTACCAAAATAGAGGCAGTGGCCTTGGTAATATATTAAAATACAATGGTAAGAAAAATACTCTGATAAATTACTTCTAATATATTGAAATAGTTACATAGCATGATAAGGAATTGGTGTTCCCCAGCGACGAGGCGTAATTAGAGGCTTCTGTATTCGCAAGCTAGTTAAAGATTGCTGTCATTCAGAAATTAGTCTTAAACATTAATAACTTGTCAATGAAAGAGTTATTCGAGGCTGAAAATATTACAGATTGATAGAAGCGCACCAGAAACAGGAACAATTCTTAAAGAACAAACTCGATTAGAAAAGTCTTTGATTAAGTTCTGTGGTAAGGAATATCTTTAAAAAGGATTGATCCTAAACGAATAAATTCTACTCAGTATGGAACCTGACACTGAATATTTTCAAAGACTGCAGGCAAGGAACAACTGGAGCAAAAATTGTTCTTAACACCTCAATGCTAATGAAATTGCTAGAAAAAAATTCTTGACCTGTATACTGACAGACGTTAAAACCGAGTGTTCATACGCTACAGTGACAGTCATAATCATCAGCGGCATGACTCAAAGAGAGAGAAACTAGGTAATCATTAGTACGCGTATTTTCCAAGGATTTTTACAACAACAGGTTCAAATGGTGGAGTATTTACAGGGGACTGCAGGCAAGATGCTGGCCCTAAAAACCAAGTTCTATTAAGAAAACTACAGTAATTTATCTAAGAAATTGAGGAGGCTGCATGAATTGTTTTAGGCAGAAAATTTTTTTGCTATGAATACTTAGTCTATTAAAACGGCTAATCGTACCGTCATAAGAAAATTGGCGGATTAAAAACTGAAGATGTGAAAAAATAGACGGCTTGTTTCTGGCCAACATCTTCAAATAAGGTACCACAATAATGGTTCAGTCAGTTTTTCCACTCAAATGTCTGCAAGGTCGTAATTCTTGAATCGCAGTATAATCAGACATCTTTACCTCCTATCTGTGGAATAAGGCTAACATAGTGAAGTTCGTGCAAGTGACCCAGCACCAGCCGGTTGCTACTAGTAACATCAAACTCTGGGCAGACCATTACGTCATAGCGATGTGGAAGACTGCTAATCACATGGATGCACGTTCGAAAACAGTTTGCCGCGCCGTGTAGAACAACGTGATCACCCCATGTACCATCTGCCATCATACTTGTGAGGTAGGCATCCCAAGATGGATATCCATCAACAAAATGAAACAGTTCTGTCCCATCCGGCTGTAAGAAAAAAAGAAAATACTGTAGTTAATAGAGAAAAAGGTAGAGAACTTTTGTAGAAGGTATATATTCAGGCAGCTGGGCTGTCAGCTCTCTCTAAGACGACACCATTAGTATCGGCACTAGAAATAATATGTCCACCTGTGTAGTATTAAGGACACACCAGTTAGACGTCTTTTTTTAAAGTGGAATATATTAACGTCGATGACGTCTCAGTTTATCTCCTTCGCGCGCCAAGAATCAGTGAACCGGAACCAGAACAATATGGCTACGTTCACACTATACCAGATAAGCTTTGGTGACGACACGAAAAGCCATCCAGTATAGTGTGAACATATATGCGATATGTGACCCTCAACTTTAGAAATCGGCGCGGCCTCATTCCCTTTCGTAATTTCGACGGTCGACGCCAGCATTAGTATCCAAGCCTTTAGTCATGATAGATGTAATATATTCCCTGGATTTAGTTACAAAAAGGCAAATAATACGTTTTTGAATAGTGCTAGAAAACGGCGTTGGAGCTAAGTTGAATTTTCGTTAAAATTTATGAAAAGGGCTAGGGTCACCTGTTATTGATGTAACAGTTAAGAAAGACAGTTTGTCAGTGTTTGTACTTAACTTTTTTCGGCATTTTGGCGGGTCGGTGGGGTAGTCTAGTGGTAAGGGAGAGAGATTAGGATACCAAAGGTCCGGGTTTGACCTTGGGTTGCGATTTTCTTTCTTTTTTATAGAAACACTCTGAATAACAGATCAAAAATTTTCTTAGTGTCTGAAAAATTGCAGCGGCCGTTTACGAAAGGGACAGCTGCATCGGCGCGTTAAAGAAATCGCGCCGAAATCACCGTTCTCATGTGTGAACTGAAACCCCATCCGGTATGATTTTCGTAAAGCTATAAAGCTATACCATATAGTGTGAAGACAGCCCAAGATGTCTGCAATGGACAATGAGGGCATCGTGGTTCAGTGATTTTAAGTCACAGGTGTCTTCATGACCAAAAAAGACATAATTTGGACAAATATATGACATCATTCTCACAATATAAGGGCATGATCCCTACAAGTTACATAAATGGATGTACTGAATACTTCATAAAATAGCTCGTGGCGTTGTGTTAATGAGATTCAACCGCATTTTATTCACCGCGAGACAGAGATATAGTTATTTATTCCACTTCATACTAATGAGGTTCCACAACAAAAAAGCGGTCTGACCTGTGCACCCTAGACTACTCTCCTCAGGGGGGGCTGGCAACGGCCTTTGATCTTGCCACTTTTCGGCTTTCCATGATCGCCCCAGTTAAGAAATCTGTCAATCATTCGAAAACTGTAGCGAGCATGCGCGAACGGGCTGGGAAAAACAACAAGAAGCTCATCTTTGCAGCGATTCGACAGTGTAAAGTGAATTCGCGTTTACAATTTTAGTCCTGTTGGTCATTGCTTTCTTTCGACTTTGCCGTATCCAATTTTTTTCCGCGGTAATGTGGAGCTTACGTTTTCCTTTCTTCTGGGCTTGCGTTTGTCATTACATGCGGTTTACTACGCTAAGAACGAAGAAGAAGACTAGTGAACATGTTCCTCGATGTCCGACCTGTTGACTATGTGTTTCTGTTTAGAAGACCCACAAGACTAAAAGAAGGGCCAGCCCTCCAATACGTATGTAGAAGAATTTATATTTTCAAGTGAAAGGCCCAAAATTGATTCTTCGCAGTATTAAAGAAAAGTGCGGTGGCTGGGTCGAGTAGAAGAGTTGTCAGAGTTGTTTACGGTTCTACTACAGCTTTAAGACGAAAAGAAATGATGATTGAGATTCTTAATTTTACATCCTTGATTGTGAACTTATCCTGGCAGAGTTGCGTTGGATGATTGAGTGGCATGGTCAAATCTCGTAGTTCATGTATTTCTTTATGTACTAGAAGCTAAATTCATTCTCTATTGATTTTGCACATGTTGATATGTTAAAGTTTCGTTCTTTGTGTGATTTAATGTAAACTTTACCGTAGTTTCTAACAAATGAATCTTAAGCAAATGAAAGGGTAATTATATTTTGTGTTTGGAATTCCAAAAACTAAACTACGGTTTAAAAAAGTTGGGATTAGCTAGGTTCAGAAAATAAATATTCAACTTTGCATGTTTTGACAAGGACCACATCTGGCTAAAAATGCTTCAGGAATAATTATTAACTCAGGAAAATGGTGACATTTATATTTTTGCCTTTCTTTTGGCCACTGCGATCAGTTTTTTCCATACAGTTGCATGTATTTTTTTACACCTTTGGACATCACTCAACCTGCCAGGTTAGTTTGTGTCTGTGCTATATGTAAATGTAGTTAATGAAATCAAATCCTCTCAAATCCTCCCAACTGGATATGAAAAACACCATAGGATGCCTTGGAAAAAAATGTAAAATCATATTATTAAGATAATATATTTATTTGTAGTCAACTGAATAACAGTTTGGAAACTTGTGTTGAGGCAGGCAAAAACCTTTTTCAGAGAACATAAACGTTCACTGACTTTGATGTTACAACAAGTGGTAAAAGGGTTTTAAAATGTGAGATCACCTAGTAGGACAAATTGTTTATTTCCCTACCCTTTTTAAGCTAAGAGAACTTATTTTATAATTCTGATTCATTTCATTTAGCATGCAGAATTAAGTTAGCTTTTAAACTTAGAAACATGGAAAAACTTGGGGGAAAAATAGTGGTACCAAAAATGTAACTATAAACTGCTCTTCATCAACCTTCACAGCTCAAACAGACACCTTGTTCAAAACTCTAAAGGATGAAATGGTCACCACCCTGAATCGGCAGCACATACCTATCTAGGCCAAGTAAAAAGAACTGCTGAAGGGATTGGGCTTAAGGGACAATAACTTCTTTTGTCGGTTGATATAAAATCAATTTTACCTTGTTTGTTTTTGTTGTAAATCAAATTCAAAGCTTATACAAACAACTGAGGTTGTACATTTTTTCAAGCTCCTTCTGATTCTCTTTATAAACTTTGCAAAACATTCAATTTTCTTTTTTCTGTTTCCTGTACTTCAGTCCTTTGAGGGATTTTCTCGCATACCCCTCTCTGATGTACTCACTCTTATTAGCAACTGGATAAGCCTCTTAGCTTGTCCCCACACTAAACCATTATAATCATTTCAAGTAAAATTCAGAACTACAGGGTAATTTTTGTACAAACAATTTCAAGGAAATACTTGAAACCGAAGTCACTATCTAATACAAAACTACTAAATACAGTACTGTTGTTGGAAATTTTTTGATTATCACTCCAATGATATTCCAGTGAAGGTTTTAAAGGTTCAGTAAAACCCTCCCAGCCTTCTGATATTAAAAATAGCTTATACTGACAGACCCAGTATATATGAAGCAAAGAGACTGGAAAATTTACCCTGGCTTTTACTAAATTGGCCCTGTATTCTGTATTTTCGCCCATAAATATTTGTTGTGGCTATCGGTTTGCAAACAAACTTACGAACAGCGAAGTAGAAAATTGGTGTAATGAACACTCCCATATATGACTGTTGCAAGACTCATACTAATATAGTGAGCTCGTAGCATATGTTTAGGATAAGGAAGAGAGGTCTTCATACCACTGTAGGTGGAAAAATATAAGAGATGGAGACTAGGCTGGTTGCTCCAAAATTCACGAAGCTTATAAATAGCTGAACTTGCCAAGATGCCGAAGGTGTGAATCACGATAAGTGTAGTCACCCATGAACTGTTCATACATCACGCTTCTTGATGTCCAAAAATTCCATGAAAAATGTTCTTGAAAACCTTTTCTTGATGTTTGGACGCGGGAAAACTCAAAACCGAGCAAAACCTCATCGTCCCTCCATGTCTACATTCTCCGCGATATTTGCTTTGAAGGAAAATGGTACTCAGTCTCACTCGGCCAAATTTCTTAACTGGGGCGATCATGTAAACTCGGTTCCAGACCTCGCTGCCAGCCCCCCCGACTCTCCTTAAAAATGTCAAAAAAAATTAAGAAGGGCAGAGACCAACACTTTTAGAGAGGTGGAGTAGGTTTAGGAGGTTTTATGGAGGTGTCCGTTACACGTGTAAGAGAGGGGAGAGAGAGGGGAAGGGATGTTCACTATTAAATTGTTTACTATCATGTGACGGGCCATGCGCGTATACTGCAAATATGTCCACTCTAAAAATAATAAAAAAGAATGAGGTACTTACCAGCTTAGGGTTTTCCCGAAGGTGTTGAACAACAGTTCGGCGTAACTCATTATGGGAGATTTTGATTCCTTTGATGAGGTCAAGCTGTTCTGAAAGTGCAAAGAACATGCAGTTTCCCCCTCCTTGATTGTCAGAAATTGCAAAACCTTTTTCCAACGCAGTCCTCTTCAAAGCCTGCGACAGCTTAGTTTTGCTGGACTCTATGCGTGCTTCCCGTATAATTTGTTGAAGTACAATAAAAAAGGGTTCGCCTGTTAACAGAAGATAAAAAAAAACTTAACATAAGATAGAGGTTATTTCATGCCAGTTTAATAGGAGATGGTGCACTGGTCTGAAGCTCAAAACAGCAGGCAATTTAATTAAAAATTACTGTGGTCTCCAAAGAACTAAATAATCTCACTCTACTGCAAAAATATATTTTGGCTTTGGTTTGATTGACGAAGCAAACAAAGACATTACCTGCCATCGGTCCTGTTGCAGCATCCTTTTCACAGTCATTTTGTGGAACGTCATCTTCTTGCTTTTTCTCAACACCTGTAAAGTTTAAAATTAGCAGTGAATTTAAATTGTTTGGCCTGTAATCAGGAGAGGGAAACATTTAGTTTACGTCAGTTTACTTGGAGATGCACCCCAATAATCGAAAGTACCCTGGTTCAACAGAAGAAAATAACCTCACTCCACTGCAAAAATAAATTTTGTCTTTCGTTCAACTGACAAAGCAAACAATGACACTACCTGCTATCGGCTCTGTTGAAGTGTCCTTTTCACAGTCGTTCTGTGAAACGTCATCGTCTTTGGTTTTTCCAAGACCTGTAAAAAAAAGATTTCAACCTCAGAAGCCCCCCTTTCATTTCTTGTGACAAATTATCAGCCAAAAGTTTGGCTGGGCCTTTTTGTTATTTTCTTTTTATATACAAGAGAACAGCACCATTGCCACTGCATATGAATAAAAATCAAATGACTTTGATGTATCGCAATGTTATAGATTTTAACTTTCTTTTATCGTTAATTCCTTCAAGTGTAGCCAACATATTATAAAATTATACATAAACGTTTTAACGAATGGAATTGATCAGCCGGTGAAAAAGATCTTGATTATTAAACAAATTCTCCTAATCAGTAACACAAGATATGTATGGAGAACAGTGTGGAGAGTGTGAACGCTAACATTAAGGTTAAAAAGGTTAACGACAATATTTCCTCAGCGATGCACATGGACCACGAAACATAATGTAGAAAAAATGTATTTATGCACTCGCTATTGCAGAAGCCATGGACATACAGCGATGAATGATGAAGGTCAAATCAGGATAATCCTTATAAGATATCCATTTTAACATTTACAAGTACAAATTATTATTATTATTGTTACTTTCCTATCGGTAAATTTGATTTCTTACCATAGACCATCTTCCACATCCTGTCAACAAGGGCCTGGCACTGTCCCTCCCAACTGAATCTTTCATCATAACTTCTTTTCAGTCTTCGGATTTCTTCAAGCCGCTGTGTCCTAGATTTTTGACGGATGGCTGCAATTGCCTTTGCCCATTTCTTGGGGTCATCAGAGTCAATCACAAATGACTCACCCATTGGAAGACCACGCAGTGCTTTTCCAAATCCAGAGTTTCCACTTACCAAAATGGGAAGACCAGCTGACATGGCCTCCAAAGCTGTCAAACCAAACCCCTCAGTTCTTGATGGCATAATGGCCAGGTCGACTTCACAAAACAACTCTCTCAATCTTTGTTTGTCTTTCACAAATGATCTAACAATCAGCTGGTTCTTTGAAATGCCAGTCTGGAGTAGGATTTCTGCGACTTCATCCTGCCTTCCATCGGATGCACCAACGAAAACAAGACTATAGGAACTGTCCTTCAATTCAACTATGGATCGAGCGGCAATGTCGTATCCTTTAAGACTAAAGTCTTCAAAATCACCGCGACCGAAGGTTAACACTTTGAAATTTACATTCTCTTGTTCAGAATGCTCAACATCTGAAAACTCTGTAAAGGAACCTGGTATTAATTGAAAGATTTCTCGACGAGATGAACGCAACTGCGACGAGATCGCGTGTTTCAACTTTGGTCCAACGGCTAAAACGAGATCTGCAATTTGACAAAGTTCAACTTCAGCTCTGTTCTTCCCTTCTCCCTTGGCAATGGCGCTTGGATAGTTCTTATGCATCGCCAGCTCTTCAGGCTCAGTGTGAACAACCTGCACCCACTTACAGCAATGAGACTTTCTTATAATCTGTGCTTGTCTACCAAGTTTTACTCCATGGCCGATCACAACCTGAACGTCAAGGTCTTCTGGGGGAACGATCAACCAGTCAAGAGGATCACTGTAGGCAGGAAGGCGTCCTGCTTCCCGGATGGAAATGTTGCGACTTTTGGCAGCTCTCTTATCCTCTTCGCCACATTCAAATTCAGGTACAAGAATGGTGACTTCTACGTGTGGGTCTTTTGCCAAATGTATGGCAAGAGTCCTGTTTATTGTTGACAAGCCACCCTTAAACGACCCCCACTCATTCGCGAGAAGGGTAACTCTTAGTACCAGACGCTCTGGACGAGCTTGTGCAGTATCAGGTGATGATGATTGAGTACACGCTTCCTGCATAGCAACCAAAATTGCATATTATAAAATACAAATTTTACATCTGGGGGGTTCTACCTTTTTGAATGAAAGTTTGCAAGACATGTTAACACGTTAGATGCTATAAACTCATTGCTCAACAGCAAAGCAAAACAGCACATTAAAAAAGACTTGAGAGAAACTTGTATGCCAACTGCTATGCCTATTAGACCAATAACAATTATTAATACATGGTAGCCAATTGACCTTATCAACTTACTTGATTTTAAGTACCAATGTTTGCTAAGTTGATAGCAACAAAGCCTTCTCTTACACAGTGGAGCCCGTGGTGGGATAAATAAAGGCATACGTTAAACCTCATACTATAACCTTAACAAAGCACATCCATGGACTTTGTTGAAGCCTTTTTAGTTTAACTATATGAGTGCTGGAGATCGCATTTCACTACTACCTACCTTACTTTCTATTTGAGAGAACCACTTTTCTTCTCCAGTAACTGTGAGTACCTCCTCTGCAGGTTTCTTCTTGCAAATCAGAGGACCGCCTCGTCTTGACTCAAGGAGGTGAAGACAATCTCCATGAGAACATGCAATCTGATCATGGCTTAAGCATTTTTCCCGCTGACAATACGGACAGGCGACCCGAATATGATACTGCAATCCACCTTTATAGAGATCACGTGACAAAACTTGCAAAGTTGCCTCCACAAACTCACGAACCTGTACCGCCACCTCACTTGTGTCATCTACTGAGATCTGGTGAGGTTGGTTTCTTTGCTTGATAAAAAACTTAATAAACTGCTTCTTACAAATAAGAACAAAATCATGAAAAGTTTGCTTCCCAATAACAAACCACGCTCCATTTTGGTACAGGGTAGGGGGCTGAAATGGACCGGCTTCAGAACACCAACGGACGGATCGAGAAACAAGCCGAGTGAAGAGACCATGGGGAACAGAACCGCTGACAAAGTAAACATACAGGGGACAAGGGTCCAGCCTTGTGGGCGCCATGGAACAAAGGGAATCAGGTGACGCTTTGAGCTGAGATGGAACAAAATACTTTTCACCTGTCTTTGAAGATGAAAATTTTGCAATTAATCCAAATTGTTCCATCAAATCAAGAATGTCTTTCCTGGCAACACCCTTCAGGAGAAAGTTGGAAAACACACGATCAACCAGTTCCATGGGGAGAGCACCGCTTTCTTCAACTTCCTTCCAGTGCTTTGCAACCTTAGGAACCTAAGACGGAATAAGGTGACGGACAATAACAAAACTATTTTAAAATAATGATATTTAGGGTGAATTTTAAGCCAGTTAATTAATGCACTTGTAAATTATTGGTTATTTTATTTAATATTTTAAGTAAACAAACAAAGAAAAAAAGATCTAGAGTTTTCCGTTTTTTGTGTTTGGACGTTTTTGTGTTTGGAGGTGGGGGACCCCAGGCTGGTTAGGTAACCTGTTTAGGTTGGGTAACTTGCCTGTCCACATATAACCTGAGATCAGGCCCAATTTTAGCGGTTCTCATACATTCTCTCTTGCCCGCCAGAATGTAATTTTCAAAGCGAAACGAAAATAGAGCCTGATTTCAGGTTAGTCCACATAATATTTTAATTTGACCACGTTTACATGATAGTTGGGGTGACCTGCAACACCTGTTAAGTCACCCAAAATGGGGCCATTATAAACCATTGCAAGTTTAAAAGCACGTTTAAATTGCGTTTCTTACCATTTTCGTAAAATCTGGAATAGTGATCAGCTGCCCGAACAAGTCTATCAGCCACATGGCACTCAAGATGACTGTACTACGGTGTTTGATAATTATTCTCAGGTCATGATAGAAATTCACCATGGTGGTAAACTCTTCCTCATCATCGACGAAGCAATTCTCCTTAACATGGGTCCGTAGCTTCGTTATACTCAGGTAATAAACTGGCTTGGAAAGCAAAGCGTTGATGACATTCTCAAAGTTCAGCCACCTAGTTTATTAAACCAAGGAAAAAATTGATAACGTACGTTAAGTATCCATGTGACGACACAGTATACCTGTACTGACTAAAGTGCAGAGCCCAGAAGTGCGAAACGTGGATAACTCTTCCCACTGGATAAATATCTATCCAAAATCCAGTGGATAGTGCCATTAAGGTTCCTGATATTTTTCCTCATAAAAGTGATTCATTGTTTGAACAACCGGGGCTAGAAGCATGCATACGTTACAAAACATGACTGCTGGCATGTGAAAAGCCGTGTATATTCTTTATTAGTTAGTATTTATGGTCTTTCTAAAGTTAAAATGAGATAAATATAAGCTTAAATAAGCTGAACTAAAGGTGGCCATGTTCTAATTTGTGACCCTGTGCAGTTATGCAGTTTACTAGAGATTGAACGGGTGCGTGATCCACTTTACTTTACCTTTTTAAAACAATGACCGGAAATGTACAAAGTTCTTTTCGGCCAATTCGAAATAACGTTATCAAACCCTTTAGGGCAGAATATTCCTTAAGACCAGTTAAAACTGCTTTTCATGGTTAACTTGTTTCAATCAACGAGATATTCATTTCTTATGTGGCTCATACAGGAATCAATGAACTTTTTGAGTTCTCAATGTAATTTTTTTAAATCAAAGTAAAAGACTACAATGAAACAGCCTTTAGATGTTTTGCGTTTACGCTTTTACATAGCGTCACAGTCAACTGATGACACCTGAAACACATTACATATAAAAAAATATCTTACAAGGATTGGCGGAAACAAACGCCATCCACATAAACAGTAATTTCAGTGTGTTCACAGCTCAACCCTTGAAATATAAATTATTTAATATTTACTTTAATGGATTCTGAACATTCTGGTATAACCATTATTTACCTCACAGGTATCCTCTCCCCAATGTAAGGCTCCTGTCTTAGCACTTCCATGATTTTGACTTGTAAAGCTTGGATGTCATCAATGTTTTCATCTTTCGCAGTAAAAACATTTCTGATCTTACTCTGAAGTAATTTCGCAGTGTTGTCAATGCTGAAGATAGGCCGCAGCACATGTCCTTCATAGTTGTTCCCAGCAATTGCCTTCTGGATTTCTGTTTTCATTGTTTTAATGTCTTCGAATGGTTTGTCTGCATGGGTTCCTACAATGATCACTGGGGGGCGCAAATGATGAGGCACCTCTTCTTCTACATCATCACAGGTTTCTCTTCTCATCTGCGCGACGCTATGCACTGTAGACAGCCAAGACAACAAATTCTCGAGATTTGTTTCTCCATTTGGATTTTCCAAATCAACATTACAAGATCCTTGCCTCACACAGGGCTTGGCTGTGTCATGCAGTGACTTGCTGAGGTTGCACACCAAGATGTACAGCGCACGTGATGATAAAAATACAGGATGGGATGCATAATACAGATGTTGTCCAGCAAAATCCCACAGTTCAATACTGACAACAGATTCTTCCTTAGCACCTTTACCTTTTATATACTTTACCAAATTTACAGCTCGCTCCTTGACCTCCTCTGGAGGTGAAGAAGTATCAAGCACTAACTCAAAATCAGGTCCTGTTAATGTGAGTTCACTATCACTGTCTTCGTTTGGATCTCCAACCTGTAGCAGGTTCGAAAAAAAAACAACAACAAAATAACGGTTGATTCTGAAAATGAAAGACTTAACATATCTGGTTCAGTTTTGGGGGGTAAGGAGGAAAAATGGAGTAAGAATGACGGAAAGTGTTTTTGGAATAATGGATTAGTGCCATTTTGTGGCGCGGAATAATGGAGTTAATTATATACATACTGAGAAATACTCACCAAAAAGTTGTGTTGTAAATTTTGATACGCAAATGAGTTCTAGCAAATCAGAGGAGTGAACTATGGTTTTCACACGTGAAAAAAATGATACGTCCGATCAGAATCGCGAACGATGTTTTTTCACATGTGAGAAAAACGATACGTCCAATCAGAAGCCACAGAGGTGTGTGAGTTTCGCGCCAAAATTCCCGCCTTTTCTTGCAGCTAGCTGAGCGCCGCTTCGCACACATTCGAGGAGAAAGGTTTTTCTCTAAGAGCTTTTTCTAGTTAAAAAAGTGAAAAACATTTCAGAAATGGAGTGGAATAGTTTCGTTTGTTTCACTGTCGATAAAGAAAACTGTGGAGAGCCCGCGAAACAACAGCGGAAGGGGAACAACAGAACAAGACGTAAGCTTAAGTTGTGCTTCTTGTCGGAGCTACTTTGTCTTCCATTTATAAGCTTAAGCTTATATTGAAACCCGCCATTTTACTTAAATTCACTCATTTTCAATTGTACATTCACAACAAACAGTTAAGATTACTTGTAGTTCTTGGATTACCTCATATCCATACCGTCATTTATGTTTTTAAGAAACGTTTCTACTAAAAAGCTGATACTTCGTTTTCATTGTTATTTCGTGGTGTGTAGCGGCAAATTTAAGCATTTTGGAAAGATTTAAAATAAAAAGGCCACCAAAATAATGAATGTCTCAGTATGTATACAGGAAACACAATACCACATGTAAAGTGCTTCGTACGGTATTTACCCACTCGTTTTTGTATCAGAAATCTCACTCGTTCGCTGCGCTCACTCGTTCGATTTCTAATACAAAAACAGCTCGTGTGTAAATACCGTACGCCAGCACTGTCCATGAAGTATTCTCTATTAGATTTTTTCAACGGAATCATGAGTTCTTTTTACTGGAATGACGAAAATGTTCGAGCTGGAATAATGAACACCCGATTATATAGAGGATATTACACGGTGGCGCGACGATATGAATGTTATTTTCGAGTGGCAAAACAATATTTTACTCACTCGCTGCGCTCGTTCGAAAATATTGTTTTGCCACTCGAAAATAAAATTCATATCGTCGCGCCACCGTGTAATATCCTCTATGTAATTGATGACAGAACATTCTTTATAAGCTCAAAAGAAAAAAAAAAAAACAAATGAGACACGATTATTGGAAATTTTAAGGAACAGTGAATTTAAGAATATATAGAAAAATAGTGTTTGATTGAGTCCCCCAGCCCCTTGGCTTTACTCCTTGCATAAAAAAGAAAAAGAAAACAACTTGATATCGAAATTGTGATTAACATCAAAATACGCGAAATCTATACTCAAAGCCTAAATGACACTAAAGATACGGCTATTAAGACTACACTCACTTTGGTTTGCATACGCGCACTAATGACCTAAAGGCTAAGCTTACGTGTAGATGGGTACAACCATGGAAATATAACAAAATGGCTGATAGTAGTAACATTCTACACTCGGAACTAAACTTCCTAGTATAAAAAAACCCTAAATTCGTAACCAGAAACGTGCTAGAAAACGATGTGGCAAATGGTAAATATTTTCCATACGAACACTGAAGCAAAAGAATGGGAGGCCATAGTGCGTTTCTCACTAAACCCTAATGAAGGCGATAATCAATTCATAATAACTACTGTTAAGATGTTCTTGTGGTAACAAAGGATTCACGAAAAAGCTTCACATTTCACAACCAACAAAGACAAACCTCATTTACAAGAGAAACGTCTTCTTTTGCTCCATCAGTACCAACTTGGTTCCTATTCTTGTTATCATCACTTTCAAGTATTGCTTCACCTCTTTTCTCCTTCTGAACCCTGTCACGGTTAACTGAAATGTCATGCATCTTTTCCACCATCACCCGCGCCACATCTATCGAACATCCCAGCAATCCTTGTTTTCTCTCATCAATAGGTTTCCAATTCCTGACTTCACCAACGTTCAACTGAAATTTTAAAGGATCCACTTCAATTCCATCAGTACTTTTTTCTTTTGGATTAAATGGTAGGCCAGTTAGAGACTTCTTTAAACTTGTTTTTCCTGCCCGATCCTGCCCAATAAGCAATACTCGACCACGGTAAACATTAACAGCTCCATCTTTCAGAGCCCTTTGATAAGCGAGCTGTGCTATTTCTCCGCGTGCTTCTATTTCTAAAGGAGCTAGTGAAAAAAAAAAAAGAATGTTCATTAAAAGTAAGTCATGTCTTAGAGGTTGTGTAGTTCATGGCTTCTAGTTCACTTGACTGACCTATTGTAGGAGGTCATGGGGTTGGGGGGGGGGAATAATTTCCATCAGATACTTAGTCCTACACCAGTGTTTGTCCTTCTTGTGATCTTTCAGTACGGTCTGTTAAGTTATTAAAAGAAATCTATGGTAAACATTATTTCACTGAATTTCAAATGTAACATGTATATAATTAATTTAGGTTATTTTTGATACAGTTAAGCAATCCAGCTGCTATTTTAAACTTTTTTTTTACTGCGCTTACTTCAAGTCTCCATTCATGTTCAAAACACCATAAATGGTGCGTAAAATTAGTGTTGTGTTTTGAGTCACCAGAATTATAAGTGTTGTTTGCATTCATGTGAAATAACTGTCTCTCTAAATGAAACAATTACTCTGAACATCAACGAACTAACTTCGTTCCAATAAGCGCCCGTTCTCTAATAAGCACCCCCTACTGCATAAGCACCCTTGTTCCAACCCAGGGGGTTACTTGGGTTAATTTTTGTTGGGTATGTGCCGCTGGCCTCTCAAAACCCCGACCCCATTATAGTCTATACTGTGGCGATATTATACACCCCATCTTAGTCACTTTTGGAAAAAAGTAATTTTTGCAATTCTAACTTAGTGACTTTCTGCTTATGCATCTACCTTCTAAAGCCTTTTAACTAGAACATCCTAAAATGATCTCCCACCTTTTTGTTAAACTTGGTGCGGTGTAAATCTTTCTATTTTTAAATCCTTACATACCTGAATTTTCTGATCCCCAAAATCCTGAAAATGTGCGACCCCGTTCCACTAACTCTTATAAAAATGTAACCCCATAATAGTCAATCCAGTCGTAAAAATGCGACCCAATCCAGGAGCACATACCCATTAGCCTACTACTAGGAAGTATACCCCCCACCCGGGCATTCCAAGCGCCCCAATACCAATAAGCGCCGCTATTCAGTCACCGACTATTGTTCCATCCTATCGCGACAAGGTTGACCCTAATTCACGCAACCCAACTGAACGGCCGCGAACGCTCTCGATTGTTAAAATCAACAAAGGGCCTACAGCACCAAAGATAGGGCCAAAGTGTATGGTTTTGAATGCTCGGTACCTGGCAAAACCTGATGCAGTTCCGGCTCTTTATGCTGAGCTTAGTAACAATAACATTGATACCGTATTTCCTGGAATAATAGCCGGGGGCGATTACTATTTTCTTTCCACAAAAAGGAGTCGATTATTTGAGGGGACGATTATTTCAAATATTTCTCACTGGAGGTCGTGCCTTAAATATTTTGTTTTATTATTCCATTAAACCGAAAATTGATTACATCGAATAAACAGATCATGGGCTTTTTGTGTTCCAAATTTGGTTATTTGATTAATTTTCAACGTCAATATCCTCGGCACCCGAGCTTGTCAGTTGAATTGCCACTAATCAGTTTTGCTGGATCAGGCTCCACTGCAACTTGACAGGGAGGGAATAAAGGAAAAAGAAGATGGCGAGAGGGGTGGGGGTGGGCGATTATTGGAGGGAGGCGATAATTATTTCAAACATTTTGGTTTAAGGAGGCGATTATTCGAGGGACGGCTTTTATTCCAGGACTGTTTTATTTCGGAGTCATGGTTGAGTATGATAATCTTGTCACATTAGAATTGAACAGAGGGCTATATTATGGTGAGGAAAGATCGAGCTGGCTCGCGAATCTGTGGTGGTGTTGCTATTATTTGTCGGAATGATTGGAAGGTTGAAGCGTTGAATGTCACTGATAGCTTGGAATTTAAGTCTTAGTTGGAGACCATGTCGCTTTGTAGACAAGATGACCTCGTATAGCAGACCAAAATTCGCCTTCATAAACAAGCTTCGAACTCAAAATCAAGGGATTGCCAGAAGGAGCTATGATCGTAGACGTTTGCTAATTCTTGCTCGTAAGGTGCCCTGCCCCTGTTTCAAGGTTCGAGAGTTTTGCTTCGCAACATGAAAGAAATAGACGCCCTGTTTCGAATAAGCGCCCTCATTTGAGAAACCATAAGTATATAAGGGCTCCGGGCACTAAATCGAGTCATTACGCTAAATAATTTAATGGCATTGTCTTTTGTTTAAATTATTCTGTACTTTGTTTCCTCCTCTCTAAGCGTTATGCTTTTGAAGTGGTGGGAAGGTTTGGTTGCCTTAGTGATCCTAAAGGCTACGTGCAGGGCAGGTTTAAGGTGAAAGGCAAGACACCTGGCCGTCCATGTGGGGAGGGGAGGGGGGGAAGGGGGTTAGGCAACTCACTTACACTATTGCCGTGCATGCTGACAGGGAAAACAACAAAAACTAACTGGCAAAACAAACCTAAGTGAAGCTAAGTGTGACTTATAACTTTGTTAAATGGTATAACAAATTTCAGACCAGTTATAGTTTAGATCACGAGATGTGCTTTCTCAGGTTTAAACACAGCAAACCAAACCACCTTTTCTAATTTGAAACTTGAACAGCGAGCTTCCTGAACAGCTCAAAACTCTTCATCCTTAATGGTCTGTTTATTTTTCTATAACAATAATTTTTTTATTTAATACAGCGGCCAAACTTCCATAATTATAACATGACAATATTACATTATCCATTAAGTGAAAAATGGCTTTAAGACTCTGCGGTTGTGTTTTTACTGAGATTATTTTAGCTAGATAAAGCCAGAAAAGTCCAGAAATACAGTTAAAACACCTAGTCTTGTGTTAGCGAGTTAAAATGCTCACTTTTTTTCGGCTTTATGACCAAAAAATTACGCAAAGTTAGACAACCTCGCGAGATGGTATAACTTGTCCTAATAAATACCGCAGCGAATCGTGTTGCGCGTTGTGACTGATGCCTGCCAAATGACCGGCGAAATGGACATTTTACTAGAAGCTGTAGTGAAGGGCTACCACCAGTGCCCATTTACAAAAAGGACGAGTGAATCTTTTGTCCTCGATGAATAAATCGACAATTATAGGTAAGACTTTTAATTAGTAATTCGTACCCAGTGGTAGTGCAAACGTATCTCAAATCAGTATTAAAGGATTACAATTGACAATCGATAAAATGGATGAAAATTGATGAAAATTGATTAAAGTCATACTCACAACTCTTTCGATCTTCGATATCTATCGATTACCGATATCAATGGCTTAATTACTATCGTTTAAAATCGAATAGAATCCATTACTTCGATTAACGCATTTCACCGATTTGGCACGGCGGGTTAAACCCACGCTACTTACGGCAATTATTGCTGTTCTGCTGTTACGTTTTGAAACAGGATTACAACATTACTTCCTATCCTCTTACTCTTTAAAGACACTATTCAACTGCATCCCTAAAATAGCGACAATAATTACTGCGCTTTTCACAAACATGCGAACTCTAAAGTTCAAAAGCCGCCTTCACAATTGCGTTTTTCGCTGCCGTCAATCATAATTACGATCACAAGCAACGAACCTTGAAACACAGAAACACTTAAAACGGATCGAAATCCACCAATCACAAATCACAAACCTTGACTTTTTATCCCGTTAAAGTAAAGTTTTGTTTCCTAAGAGGTCCGTTAAGATGATTGACGGCAGCGAAAAACGCAATCGTCAGTTGGCTTTTGAACTTCAGAATTCGCATGTTTGTTAAAAGCGCAGTAAACGAAAACACATTCAAGGCGCTTCGTCTTCTAACATTTTTGAATGTGGCGCGCTTTTTAAATTTGAAACCTCTGAGTTATTCCGAGCTAAATTTAGAAGTGAAAACAGCTAGTAATCGTCGGTATGTCAACAAACACCTAGAAAAAATGTTTCGCTAAGTAACAAATCGACCATAGTGAAAACACAGGCGGTGTGCGTCACGACCCACAAAGGTTCATGGGTAAACCTGTTACTGTGCCTCATTTCAATCGTGACACCGTCGAGTTCGCATCTCGTGAGAGAAATTAATCAAACCCAGCGATCAAAACACTGCTGCCTTTTCCGAAAAACATTACGGAAGAGAACGATTTCGAGAATTTTCAAGATCTCATAGTGGCGTTAGATGATTGCTATTGGCTTCATAAGGCAATTTCAAGAAGTTTATCGCGATTCGGAGACGATCGTGCGATCTAGCCGACTTTGAGCGGCGACTAATTTCCTGCTTGTCATAAGATTTTATGTACTGTTTGGTTTATATGTATGTTTTTATCTCATAGTGAAAGAGATCTGTAGTTCATACCTGGATTTGCTTAACTAAAAAAAAAAATTCGTCCATTAGAAGTGTTTATATATTTGATGGACTTTGTTACCGGCAAAGCAGGGGGAGCGCGTGCAAACAGCAAGGTGAGAAATCGTCTCTCATAACAATTTTATTTTCATCGACAAGTTTATATTATTTTGAAAACAGTGCCCGTTTGAAATCCTTATGCGCAAATAAATCTTCTATCAGGCAGGGGGAAAACAGACCGAAAGAGCCGAACAGCTGCAGGACAATCGGAATTTCACCGAAGCTACAGCCGCAGAAATAAACAGTGAAATAAACCACGATCTTGTCTGTGCGGTCATTAAAGTGAGCGCAGTATATCGATTTTGTTATAAAGTAAAACCTAACCTCAAAGAGAGATTTATAACAATTTATTCCCTCACATAAGTTTACACAAAGATTTGCATACACGTAGCACACACCGCATGCAAATTATTTGAAAGTCACGCTTTCAGTTTCCGCACTGGGTTATGAAAAATGTTTTGTTTCCAAAGGTTATTACAATATTCAAACTTATTTACCTTTTGTGGTTTAAAATAGAACAAAGTCTTCCTGGATTTGGCGTTACTCGCTTCACGTCGGCTTCCGCTTCGACATGTTTTCACAGCGCGTTTCCCGGGAGTTATGCCACTTGGCTGAGACGATGTCTTAATTCCAAGACACTTTCAACGGCTCATAACGGGAAAACTAACAGGGGTAGACCCGGGTAGACCCCGAAATTTGCAAAAAGAAGAAAGGTTGAAGTAACAAGATGGCCAAAATAATGCTATAAAACCGCTAACAGTAACCTGCAATAAATCCAAGAAGAACGGGGAAAACAAAACTCAAATAATCATGGCCGCCTGCACATGACCGAGCAATTCAAACTTGTCACAAACGCTCAAGAAAGCAAAATATTTAAAAGTAACGCAACTGCTATTAAGATAAAGTGTTCCAACAACTTTCCACGGCGGTATAGTGTCGAAATTGCCAACACAAGCTTGGAATAAAGCGAAAATTTCACCACGTATACCTCTGAAAACAGCTCTTTCCGAGCGCGAAAATCACTCTACAAATGACGCATTCTGATTGGTCGAATCTCGTGACGCACACCGCCTGGTGAAAACATAGCCTCCCCCGCGGCGTTTTTAGGGGAACTCGTATTTCTTCCCTCCCCGAAGAAATAATAGCCTGCGAACAGCAGACGTATTTCCGGTCGTCGCTTCTCTCCCTCCGAAAGTTCTTGAGAACACAACCGGAGAGTCATTTAGTAATTAAGGGTGTGATGGAATACAATGTTTGGTGTTCATTAACCTTAGATATTACCCTACCCTGGATAATAGCTATTTTTCACAGCTGATTTGAAATTTTAAAACAGACGAATTAATCAAAATGAATTAATACGTCCAAGAAACTTACTCGATTTTGAAACTACAGTTCGTAGCATATCTTGATTTATCAAACCCTGAAATTCGCGAAACCTCCGATAACTGAAAAAAAAAACGACTTCCCTTTCCCAGGCAAATAGTGGAATTTTCTCTGAGTTTTTTTCGAACTTCCAAATAATTACAATATCCGCTGTGCTTACCTGCAACACCATATACTCGTACTCCTTTCTTCCCTAACTTCAAGGCATGTCTTATTGCGTCAACAGTTAAAGGATTATGACTCACTCTCAGCACCCTCAGCTCCCTGAGGTCACTAATCTCAGCGGGTAGTTCAGTTAGTTTATTTCCATCCAAGTCCAGCAATGTAAGATTGGTCAGCCTCTGTACACTGGTAGGTAAACCAGCCAACTGGTTGTTACTCACCCACAGCAGCCTCAGCTCCCTGAGGTCACTAATCTTAGCAGGCAGTTCAGTTAGTTTATTTTCACGCAAGTACAGCTCTTTAAGCTTGGTCAGCCTCTGTATACTGGTAGGTAAACCAACCAACTGGTTGCTCCCCACCCACAGCAGCCTCAGCTCCCTGAGGTCACCAATCTTAGCAGGTAGTTCAGTTAGTTTATTTTCACTCAAGTACAGCTCTTGAAGCTTGGTCAGCCTCTGTATACTGGTAGGTAAACCAACCAACCGGTTGTTACTCACCTTCAGCCCCCTCAGCTCCCTGAGGTCACCAATCTCAGCAGGTAGTTCAGTTAGTTTATTTCCATCCAAGTACAGCCATTCAAGCTTGGTCATCCTTTGTATACTGGGAGGTAGCCCAACCAACTGGTTGTTACTCACCCACAGCAGCCTCAGCTCCCTGAGGTCACCAATCTCAGCAGGTAGTTCAGTTAGTTTATTTCCATCCAAGTACAGCCATTTAAGCTTGGTCATCCTCTGTATACTGGTAGGTAAACCAATCAACTGGTTCTTACTCATACTCAGCTCCCTCAGCTCCCTGAGGTCACCAATCTCAGCAGGTAGTTCAGTTAGTTTATTTCTAACCAAGTACAGCCTTTCAAGCTTGGTCAGCCTCTGTATACTGGTAGGTAAACCAACCAACTGGTTGTCTCTCAAGAACAGCTCCCTCAGCTTCCTGAGGTCACCAATCTCAGCAGGTAGTTCAGTTAGTTTATTTTCATCCAAGTACAGTTCTTCAAGCTTGGTCAGCCTCTGTATACTGGTAGGTAAACCAACCAACTGGTTGTTACTCACCCACAGCTGCCTCAGCTCCCTGAGGTCACCAATCTCAGCAGGTAGTTCAGTTAGTTTATTTCTAACCAAGTAAAGCTCTTCAAGCTTGGTCAGCCTCTGTATACTGGTAGGTAAACCAACCAACTGGTTGTTTTCAACCTGCAGCCTCCTCAGCTCCCTGAGGTCACCAATCTTCACAGGTAGTTTAGTTAGTTTATTTCCGTCCAAGTCCAGCAATTGAAGCTCGGTCAGCCTCTGTATACTGGTAGGTAAACCAACCAACTGGTTGTTACTCACACTCAGCCCCCTCAGCTCCCTTAGGTCACCGATCGCAGCAGGTAGTTCAGTGATTTTGTTGTTATCCAATTTGAGCACAACAAGATTTTTCAGCTTGCTGATACTTGCTGGTAATTCAATCAAGTTATTTTCTTCCAGCACAAGTTTCTCTGTTTTACTCAGTTCAGTGACTGCAGCAGGTACCCTGGATAGCCCTTTCTCTTTCAGATCCGAAACTGCTAATCCATCTTCATATTTTAAGTAAGCTCTCAATTTTGTATTGGAATAATGCTCCATGTTTCAAATTGTTAATAAAAAGTCTCGACAGTTCTTCTTACCATCTAGAAATAACAAATAGTCACCTAGTATAGAAAAATCAAAATCATATCATCAATATAGGTGAATTTTACAGAATTAAAATAAAAGAAATCTAGAACAGATGCTGTTAGTGCATTCAAAAAATCTTTTATTAGTAGACTAGGGTATCTAAAAGATAGTAATGCTGCGGCACATTCTGTTGATAATGTCATTAGTTAGGCAGTGATCCATCTGCTTGCATGCGACTTAAAAGAATCGAAAATGACAATTAACTTTCCCCTTTTCTTGCTGTATAAAGCTTAACGGTTTCTTTTCTGCTTTTAAGCAGCTACCATTTTCTGCCAAGTGTCTCCTCTTTCTCATTTCAATTCAGTCTAAACTATTGTTGATGACCACCAAAAATGCAAAGATTGAGTCAGGTCATCTTAGGGAGGTGGTCACTTATTGAATCAAGTGGGTCCCTTCCTAGAAGATTAAGATCCCAACACATCTACGTTTTGGAACAGAGTTCATCGCATGCAATTTCTAACCTGCAATATGTGTATAGTTTTATGGTGTCACTTAACGATTTTCACATACTTTGAGTAGTGTACTACACACAACAAACAACAAAAAAATAACAGACCATGATACAAGGAAAGCAAATTATGTCAATATTGTGTACTGCTCAGACTGTTTGGAATAAAGGCCTTAAGTGACTTAAGAAACACTGATTCCCAATTGTGGCTACATATGGGATGTGTATTATGGGTAGGTGAACATGTTTGTGATCAGGTACATCTATTGTAATATAATATAATAATATTATATTACATCATAAGGTGACAAATGATTTGATTTCTGTAGATCTGGAAATAATCCCAGAAGGGGGTTGTTAATTGATTTTCAGTGGCAGGCAATGGGGATGCCTATTTGTCGGAAACGCTTATTTGAGGGGAGACACTTATTTGAAGGGGTCGCTTATTTCATCTTTTAGTATTTCAGCCTCAAGATAGCATTTGTCTTTGTTTCACACAGACAAAAAAAAACTAAGCAATGAATCTTCCTAAAGCCATCAAATGCTTACCTTATTTTAAATACTTTAAAGTAGTGTACTTATAACTTATTATTTCTAGGGTGCAATATTGTAATGTATTTTGGGATACTTATACTCAGACTATAAAAGTAACAATTGCACAAAGTTAATTTTTAAGCCTTCATCGTGTCACGAACTCATAAATGACTCAAAACAAGCTGTCACATATTGTGGACAAGATTCTCCTCTCAACAAAGTTCGACGCTGAGCGAAAAATTAAATCTAAATTAAATAAAAAAGAGAAGAAAATTAGGAATAGATTTTAGCTATGACTAACAACATGTAACTGTGCCAGTGTTCCGATAAAAGATCAATCTGATCAATCCGTTCCTCAATGTTCATTACCTGCAAGCTCTCTGCGAAAATCTCCGCGTAGATTTTAGCCGTGCTTCAATTAATGCAGTTACGGGACATTCCATAAGTTTTTTAAAAGAAACTTCTTAAAATCGCATTTTAATTTCATATAGAAATTTTTCACAAACAGCCAAAGCCGCGGGCCGAGAACCGGATGCACGCGGCCAGCAGAGGTTTATCTAAAATAAGCCCTTGAAATTATATAACATAATAAATAAATTATCCAAGCTAAGATCTCACCTCGTATATATTGCATCAAGAAACAAAGCTCAGATCTGAATAAACTCCGACATATGGTTATCTTTCTCTCATAGATTATTCCACACATGCATGGCATATTATTTCTAAGATGTCACGCGCGACTGAAATCACGACTTCGCGCCGCGGTGATGTGACAAATGCACGTGCTTTGTCCTTTGCTCATTTCAAATTATTGAATCGGCGGTTGCTGTGATTGCGGGTGCGCTTGATTTTACTGTTTGTTACGATCTTACAAAAGTATACATTTCAACTCTGCGGATTCTCTGAACACGTAGATGTTGCATTTATCACGAATCAAAAATGGGTATGACTCCTCAGCAACTGCTATGTACTTTGAAAGGTTCTGGTTCAGGTTCTCTTCGAAGCCCGCGGTCTTGTGCTGTCTTGTGTGTTAATCCAAGAGTCTTCTGTTACATGAGTATTATATACAATGTTCCCTCTATATGCATAACATGTTACTAAGACGCTTAAGTATACGCCATATGAGAAACAAATGAAGGGTAGTAAACATTTATATACTCCCGCCTGTACGGCAATTTCAGTTTTTACAGGGTTCCATGCTCAGCCTCGCTGTTCTCAGTCACTTGATTTTCACGTCACCGACCTCTTTCATGCTCGCGTAAATTTGATGGTGTTATTCTTCTGTTGTTCTTTATCAGCCAATAATTAAATGTTCAGGCGAAGCCTGCAAGCTTCTGATAATATTTGAGTAAAGCCGTGAATATAATAAACAATGTAAGTTACATGTATGTAGATTATTATTTACCGGTAACGTCAGTAACGCAATACCCTTTTGAAGCGGAAGATTGATAGCCTGTGTAAAGACCCCCTTTTTTAATTTTTTTAATATATTTTAAACGAATTTAAAAATTCTTTAAAAATTCTTTTTTAATAGCATTCTGAACAGGTTAAAACAGTGTTGGATTTGGTAAGGGAATAGTTTATGGATAATCTGTTTTTATAGTCAGAGTGTTGTGTGCCCAAAATACAATTCAAATAGACCTCAAAACAGTGTTTAAGTACCCTATTTAAAAGTATTTAAAATGCGGTCAGTACTTACGGTTTTAAAACATATTTCAAATAGTCTATTTGAACTCTGTTTGTAACTTTGTGAGTGGATGCGTCTCAAAATACATTTTAGATACAACTCAAAACAGTGTTAAAGTACCCTATTTCAAAATATTTAAAATACGGTCAGCATTTAGGCTCTTAAAACATATTTTAAATGGTCTATTTGAACTATGTTTGTAACTTTTTGAGTGGATGCGTCTCAAAATACATTTTAGATACAACTCAAAACAGAGTTAAAATACCCTATTTAAAAGTATTTAAATTACAGTCAGCATAAAAGCCCTTAAAACATATTTCAAATAGTCTATTTGAACTCTGTTTCTAACAGTGTTAGTGGTTCCGTGACCAAAATACATTTTAAATACCCTATTTTAATCATATTTATTAAACAAAATACATTGTAAATTGATGAGAGAGGTTTTCCTTTAGATGAAATACAATTTACCTACACTTAAGATATATTTCAAACCGGGGCGAAAATTTAAATTTTTATGTCAAATAGGATTAAAATACAGGAAAATAGTGTTCAAATACTGAAAATACATTTTAAATACTTTAAAATCAGTTTCAAAATACATATGGTTTGGTAAGAGTACCCAAGTGTGTTATGATCATGTCCTTAGCTTTGAACTTTCCATTAAAACTGTCCTCAAGCACTATATTCAGAGGAGCTGAGTCATTAACATCTGATCGTGTGATGTCCCCAAATGAGTTATTCTCTTGTGACTGTAACTTTTATGCTACCCTTTTGAAAGATAAAAGTCCAGCTGTATACCATGCATTTAGTAAGGCAGGGTGTTAAAGGTGGTCGCTTATATGAAGGGGAGGGCCGGAAGCTTAAACGAACACTATCCCATTACTGCGCATGTACCAAACTTAGATTTTCTGACAGGATGTTGAGAATTCAAAAGATCCACATAGTGTTATAGAACCTTCCAAAATCTTTGCATCATGCTCGATTGAGTTACACCACTAAACCCTCTTAAAACTACAGATCAATGTTCCCATTAACTTTTGATTTGAGTGAAATTGGGAGTTTATGGCGTTGATTTCATTTAGATATAAGAAAGAAACGGAAGAGACATGGATGCCACTGAAAAGAACTTGCAACGAATGTTAGTAAAATTAAAAACCTCCTTAACAAAATAATATGACCAACTAAATTGACCAAACAGCTGGCCCTTGATGTATAGAAAAACAATTATGTTTTACTAACCTTTGCAATGCCTTCATCATGTAAAGATTTCATTTTTATTTATAACCTTTGAGCGTTTGAGGCTTAATAGAGCACGAGCAAATATTACTGGATTTATTTTGAGCTTGCCATAAGTTGAGCTCTGACACAAGTTTCAAAGAGGAAAAGTGGTAAAGCAAGAGAAACAAGCTTTTTAAGGTCACAATTTAGAAGAGCAAGTGAAAAAATCACAATAAATCTTTTTGTGGCATGAGCCATTTATTAAATAAAACGAAAGACTTTGTCAAAAGTGTAAAATATTACTTGAGATATGTAAACAAAGGAACTCCATCGGAGATAAAGTTGCAAGAAAGTCTTACTGTGTCGTAGTGTGACAGTTCTGTTGTTGTTTCAAGGAAAAACACATAATGTTTGTGTGTGCACATAATCATGATAGCGTCTCTTTAGTGAGTATTTATTTTAATATTTGAAGCCTCAAAGAGTGGTACTTATTTGAATGGGGTGCCTATTTGAGGGGCAGAGGGTGGAGGGGGTGGGTTAATTTCAGCATTTAGGGTACTAATTAGTGCCTTGGGGCTGTGTATCTTAAGCAATGCATTGATGTTTTGATTATTGTTTTTATTGCCCAACTTTATTGTCTCAGGAATTCCCTTTTGCCATAGTGAATTCTTGAGACTCAGCAATTCAGGAGAAGAATTTTGAGATTTAATTTTTGGTCCAGGGATTCTTTCAGTTGTTGTAGGAGGACAATAGATTTTTGCTCTTATATTCCAGACCTTAAATCTAGAGTACCCCCTCAGGCAATAAGATCATTATTTACCCCTGTCGCCTAGCTCTTTCTCCTAGGTAACGCAGTCTGCCCATATTATGGCTAGTGACAGGCCAGGTAATCTAAGGCCTCTGATATACTTCCACTTCTTCCGCAATTGAAATAACAGGTCATTTGAACGGTTATTCTATGTATTCCTCTTCCAGATAAGGTCAATCGAATGAATGCACCCTTAAGCATACTCGGCCACTGTA